TTGGGATGTAGAAGTTTTGGGAGGATACCTCAGATTCCCGACCTCTAGGTGTGCAGTCTCTCAAATTTCCTGGGGCATTTGAGCCCTGCTGGAATAAGAGTTTAGACTGAAAACTACCATGATTTCTTTTGAAAATTGGTCAGTTGGTCAGGTCAAGTCTTAGGCAGTCTTGTTCAAGATAAAGGTTTACCTCTGGTATTCCTTTGACTGTGTCTTGTTTAGTTTGTGTAGCCAGGTATGGTTTGTGAATGTCCAGCCACTGGGCTGCTAATCAGAAAAAGGCTGTTCTTGGGAAAGATGATGTTCATTTGAAAGATGGGAGGAAAGCTGAAAAGAGAATCTCCCTCCAAAAGAGTTCATGCTGAATAGTATTTATATAATTTATGGTAAAGGGTATTAGATGGCTGTAGCATATGGTTGAACACCATGTGCTCAGTCAATGTTGCAAAACATGTGTTAGCTTGCATTATTTAGGGAATATATGAAATATACTGAGCCACAAAAGAAACACACCGATAGAGGTTTCTTAAACCACACACTTTAATTCACTCTAATTAAAAATCAAAACAGAGGATTGCATTCAAACTTGACAGTTACGGTTATCACATTTTCGGGAATCACATTTAGAGTTCACACAAACAAATTCACCAAAAATGGTACCACTAAGATACCTCAGAGGCAGTATCGTGTTGGCCTCCATGGGCATCGATGACGGCTTTGCGTTGTCTGTACATGGATTGAATTAGCTGGTTGATGAAGGCCATAAGCACTTGGGCCCATACTCTGCGAAATGCCTGGTCGAGTCCAGGCACAGTTGTTGGCCTTGGTTGGAGGTCATTCAGTCTTCTTTGAATCTCATCCCAAAGGTGTTCTATTGGACTTATATACGGACTGAGTGCAGGTCATTGTAGGGTTTGGATGCTATGTTGTCTTAGGCAGTCCAGTGATGCTCTGGCAGTGTGGGCATGAGCGTTGTCTTGCTGGTAGATGTGATTTCTGTGACATTCAAAATGTGGTACTTGGTCAGTATAGCAAGCAGCTGTCACGCCATTTCTTCGTCCTGGACCGTGACTCTGGAACACCAGGGGGCCAAGTCTCTGATTCAGACCGATTGCACCCCACACCATGATGCTTGGGCCTCCCCACAAGTCTCTCTCAACAATATATATATATGCATTGGAAAACCGTTCACCATGCTTTCGCCATACTCTCACTCTGCCATCAGTTGTCGAAACACAATATCAGCTTTCATCAGAAAAAAGCGCAGTTCTGCATTGTTGATAACGTCAATTTTGATGCTGAGTTGCCCATTGCAGTCGGTTTGGCTATAATGAGGACAGGGCCACGATATGGTCTGTGACAGCAGAGGTTTCTTTCGTGTAAATGTTGACGCACTGAATCGGCATTAGTGGGTCTCTTGTGAGTCCCAGTGGTCTGGCGAGCTGTTTCCGTGGCTCTGGTGAAGCGATCCTGCAGATGGTTGTGCTAAGTCTGTCGGTCTTGACATTATGATGTTACTGCAGGTCGTCCACTGCATGGATGGTCTTGGATGCTGTTAATAGCCTGATACCACTCCTGCAGTCGGTAGATTGTCCTTACATTAACATTAAAATGATTGGTTACCCTCCGTGCAGCCTGGCCAACTTGCAGTCGTCCCAAGGCTTGGTTCCTCTCATCTCATGGTATGATGATTGTGTCAACACAAGAATGATTTCAGGCGAGTTTGGGACTCGCTTTCATTTGTAGGGTTGTCCCGACCTGCATTTTCATTTTCATGAATGTCATACGGAACCTTTTACCACGTCTGTCTTGTTAGGTACATTTGTTCGACATAGTTTTTCATCAGAATACACACTGAATAACAGTGGTAATAACTGTCAATTTGGATTGAAAAACATGTCAACAAAACGGTAAAATCATAATAAAAACACCACCTTGTAAGAACAAAATTTTGCATTTCGTTTTGAAAAGTCACAATTCTTTTGCAGTTCAGTATATTATTGTAATTAAATATATTTCACTATTATGAAGAGCATTGATACCCTTCTGTACTTAATATTCATTTCCAGAACAAGATAAGAAATGTTTCTCACTTGAAAAGAGTGGTGAGAAAGGAAGTTCAAAAAGAGGACCAAAGGTGAATCAGAAGACTGGTAGCATCTGACAGGTGTCAAAGGAAATCAGACACTAGACAGTTATATTATGAGGAGAAAATAGCTAAAAATAGACTGCGTATGTCCAGGTGAAGTTGGAGAAATCAGAGGCTGCTCAAGGTATCAAGATTGAAGAAGTTAGTGGTCTGACGTTCAACTGCAGACAAAGACAACATATAATGAAAACAACAGTTGATGGATGGTCACCTGCAAGCAGGAGACACAAAAACAGATGTCAGTTTGGCTTCAGCTCTTTTATTGTTATAATATCCACTTACCCATTCCTAGATTATCATGTGTGGTGAGAATAGTTCAAAAGAGCTATGAGATGAGACATTTTCACCCTGCAAAGAAAAAGCTAATCTACTTCAAAACTTGGAGTGTTTTTTCCATTGAAAATTATGTAATTATAGTTTAAATGTTGAGGCTGATGAACCGTCCCAAAAACTATTCACACATTATCTTTACAAGATATTTCTATTTTTTGTTCTACTAAATCCAGTCCCACAGATGACTGTGTTTTTCATTTTCTTTATGAAGAACTCTTCAATAAAAATACATCATTCATTTCACACTTTGAGTAACTATTTCTGTAGCTAAACAATATATTGTAAATATAACCCCAGCTTTTCTCCTCTCCACCATGGCAGCCAGATTAGACTTAAAATATTGGCTAAAACTAAAGAATCTAAAACAAACAAACTTATTTACCAACAAGAATATAAAGCATTAAGAAACACTCATGATACTTAGTTACAAATCTATCTTGACATATGGATGCAAGAATTGTGGTGCAGGTGCTAGTGGCACTGTTATTGGATTCAGAACAATACCAGATGACTCCATTTTCACAACAGAAGCATGTGCTATTTTAACAGCTCTAAAATATATCAACAACCAGTCTAATTATATGCAGTTCATCATATTTTCAGAAAAACAAATCATACAAAATCAAGTTCTTTGTCAAATAGCAACCCTCAGGAGTGTAGAATGGTTCCCACTTCCGTCGCCGCCGTGCCTGTGGCCTTGACACCGAGGTCCATCCATGGTACCACCTTGAACATGTCCAGGGCGTCATGGAAAATGATGCTTTCAAACTTCTGTGGAATAGACCCATATACAGCCTCAGAAGAATTCCAGCCATCAAACCCGATCTTGTCCTTTTTGATAAAGGCAATGAAATTATTTATATCATTGAATTTTCTGACCCTTTTGACAGCAACGTGATTGGCAAGATTTTTGAAAAGCATGATAAATATGTGGACCTCGCCTTTGAAATGTCTCGCTTGCATCCCAAGTACACTGTCGTCAGGCTCCCCACTGTTCTCGGTACCCTTGGTTTGGTACCTCCTGATATTTTGGCACAGATTAGGAGAGTGCGGAGGTTCTCCACCGGGAGTACAGCCCTTATAGTGTTGGGGAGTCTACATATTCTCTGGAAGGTTCTTGTTGGGTTCGACTAGGCAGCCTTTCCTGGGAGAAGTCCCATTTGGAGGAGGTAAGGGCCTTGAGCTGACGATGTGCCTTACCAGCCAGACTGTGTGCTCGATAGGGGTCAGGTCTGGAGAAACTGCTGGCCAGGGAAGTACCCGAATGTTCTGCTCTCTCAGGAAATCTGTCACAACACGAGGGACATGTGGATGGGCATTATCACACATCAGCATACCGTTCACGTCGCCTTCTGTATACCCTTGCCCTGTCATCTGAGGTGTCCAGATGAAATCTTGTCTCATCAGTAAGCAAAACACCATCCCAATCTTTTCTTTTCATGCAAGTACAGCTATATGTCTGCACCAGGCAACACGCGGCAGTCGGTGACATTGGAGCAAAATTAGACGTATTGCAGGCCATCGGGGGCTGGATGTTGTGCTCCCTCAGTCGGTTCCATATAGTCCTGGAACTGATTGGATGTAAGCCAGGAATGGTCCCAGCAGTCAAACCGACAGTCTGGAATCGATTCCTCAAATGGATCAGCGGAATGTGGTTGCCTTGTTGACGTGACGTCACACGTGGACGACCAGTTCGAGGCAAATATCTTGTGTTCCCATCATGTGGAAAACATCTCCATTGAAATGAGATTGTGTTTCGATGGACACCAAAATGTGTGGCCACATCATTATGCGCAATTCCAGTCCCCAGCATATCTACGGCGCGGAGACGCTGATTTTCTGTAATTCGTGGCATTACGTACGCGCAGTTATGTTTGAGTAAGGTCGTCGTGTACAAATGTGCAAATGCTACGCGCTATACATGACATCAAATTTAATGCATGTGGTTTGTAACATGTTTATTGAGGGTTATTTTCAAAACCCTTTTTTTTTATGCGTTTTATGTTATGCACAGTTACTTTTTTTCTGTTTGTATATTTGTCGTTTGTATTGTTGTCTTCCTAACATAGTTAGGGGTACTGCGGCCTACCAAGCAATCAAGTGTTAGACAATGATAATAGTTCTTAGAATACTACCTCTACCACTTGAGTTAAGGCCCATTAATCCTTCTCTCGGAATCCCAGATTACATAACTTTTGGTACCCAAGGAAGAAAAGAGATAGCGCCAATAGATAATGCTTGGGAAGACCACTAGTACCTAAGACAACACAAGTTAACCTGTGGATCAGAAACAAGTTTCAGAAAATATGACAGTCAAGTGTTAGAGGTAGTATTATAATAATTTTCGTTTTTGATAATACTTCAATATTTGTACTGTTGAAATTTGAAAACACTTCAGTGTCTTTTGAACTTCTTTGCCAGTTATTTGAATGCGATTAAAGTATAATATTCTAGAAATATTTCATCAAATGTTGCAAATAATCCTATGGTCTGACTCTGTATTACCTAATTTTGATAGGTGCAGATGTTGAGTGGGAGGATGCAAGCGGTAACCAACCCTTACATCATAGTGTAGCTGCCAATCAAGTTGAAATGACCAAGTTTTTGCTGGAATCAAGTGCAAGCCCTAATGTTATTGGATTATCTAGATGTTATCCTTTGCATATAGCAGCCAAAACCAACATGACAGAATGCATGGAACACCTTGTTAATCACAAAGCTCATCTAAATGCAAGAGATTCTGCAGGGCAAACTCCTTTGATTGTTGCTACTCGTGAACGCCGCTTCAGTGCTGTGAAGTATCTCATCGCAAAAAAATGTAACATCGACTGTCAAGACAAGAGTGGCCGTACAGCACTTCATTATGCCAGCCAAAATGGTACAGGTGTGGACATACTGTTGGCAGCTGGTGCAAATCCCAATGTGTGTGATATAAACAACTGCACTCCTCTACTACTTGCATCAACAGAAGGCTTCTCTCATGTTGTAAAGTTGCTTTGTCAAGCCAACTGTAACCCAAATATTGCCAATGACTCGGTGAAAAAAACGCCTTTGCACATTCTGTCATTCAAAGGGCATTCAGACTGCATCAATGACCTCCTGTTAGCTGGTGCTGATATAAACTTGCTAGATAGTGAATTTCACACTCCCCTGTGGTATGCAGTATCCAACTGGCGTCTGGAAGTTGTGAAGTTGCTCCTGAAAGCGAATAGTCAGGTAGATACTTATCAGTGCCAGAAAGGTATTCCAGAAGATAGCTGTCCAGTTCAACTGGCAATAACAAAAGGCAACACTGCTGTCCTCAAAATGTTTATTGTCTCGGGCTTTGATACATTGCACCTTCGAGAGAATTTGCCATCGTCAGACTTACCTATTGATCTACTCACTGACCTCAGTTTTTGGCTACAAAAGGTTCAACAAACCATGACACTGAAACAGCTATGCAGACGTTGGATCAGACACCATCATGGAATTCGACTATTTCATGACCTTAGTTTGATGCCCATACCACAGGGCCTTCGTGACTTCCTACTGTTGAAGGAGCTGGATGACATTCATATATAACAATCAGTTCCTTCAGCAAACATTGTTATCCTGGCATTTTGAGTGAGTGAGTTAAAATTTATTGTCACACCTGGCATTTTGGGCTTTCTATCGGATAACGGTAAACTATTTTGTTAACAAAAAAATATTATTTGTTAATATCATTCCGCCTACCTTCTGCATGTCATAACGGTAACCTGCCATTACAGTCGATGCAATCTCAAAGTCTTACAGGACGTGACGTCACATGTTTTCGATCCTTTGGTTGGCTGTATATTTTTAGCAATGTTGTAATAGTAGAACATGCCCGTTGGAAACAAAACACCAACGGATGTAGATTTCCCATTCAATTCATCATGTAGAGTAGCATATGATACAGAAAGTCGTAGTAGTAGCATTAATGATCCCTGAATTAAAATTAATCTTTTGTGGGTCTTTGATTGATGCTTACTCATGGAAACTTGAGTAGTATACTGATGTCAGACCGATAGCTGGGATCAGCTTGTTGACATTTGGACTGCTCATGGATTTTCTCGCATTCTCACACTATAAACAGGAACCGTTATGGCGGATCGAAAACATATGACGATCGGAAACGTAAGACAATATGAGATAGTACAGTCAACCTTCGTTTTAAAGATGGATTTGTAAAAAGAATTATTTTGGAGTCCCAAGTTTCCAAAATAAACATAATATTCCCCTGGTAACTCAAACAGTTCAAAAGTAAAAAACATTATCAGTCCTGTTTGGTATTTTAGAAATTCCCTGTATTGGTTGTCTTGATCTGTGTAAGTGAAACTTTTCGCCAAGTTTAGACTGTGTGTGAGTCTAAGAATGGAGTAAAATGATGTCCCCCATATGTTTGTTTTTTTCAAAACTGTTTAGTGAATAGTTATAAGACTAAATTTATGCAAAATATCCAAATGTGAGTATTGAATTTTACATTTTTCCAGCATTGTCACGTTCATTGAGTTTTGAAAAAAAAACTTGTATAGAATCTATTTAAGACAGGGATACTTTGGCATGTTGAATTCCATTTTGTGTTCTAAACCAATAGAAAGCTCTTATAGCATTTGCCTTGTAGTTGAAAGTCCCTTAATACTTCATGTGCTATTACATTTGGAAGAATTCTTAATAAATCATAGGTAAGTCATCGCAGTGCATTTTTCTTGATGAGTTTTTTATTTTGATTTACAAACCAATATAAAACTCACTTTACATTTATGTGGAAAGGACATAAGAGACAGAAATTGTAACTTTGTGTTGATGACATGCTGGATTAATTCCCCAAGACATGACTATAATTACTGTGAATACCCAACCTCTATTACATCATAGCCAAACCCTTATTACATCATAGCCAATGTTCCTGCAATATGGTTATTATACTGAACACAAAAAAAGAAACGACACATGTGTTATTTTATGTCCCAAACATACACATGCAGAACAGTTGATCACTGGATTGTCTGGTCCAGACTCGATTATTTACAGACCACCTCCATATAGCTGGAATATTGCTGAGTGCGGCGTAAAACTAAACTCACTCACTCACTCACATGTAGAACAAAGTGTGTCGCTAGTACATAAATCTGGTTTATTGATATATTGAGCATACACAGAAGCAATAGTAGGCATTAAGGTGCACTTGGTGCACCCTCCACTGTCAACAGTAGCATGATAACTCACTTATGGATTTCACAAGGACTAGCCATCTGTATTGGAGCTTGTTCAGTACCGCAATGCTCTCATCTCGCATTTACAACAGCATGGCAACTTTGTCTTATTGACTGACTACCACCCGTGAACACATTATGTACCCAACGCCGTTGCTTTACAAACATATGGCGTCCAGTTTTTGAACATTCTGGGGTTGACGTCTCAAGGCACGAGGATTTCTTCCAAGAGCATCCCATACATGCTAGATGGGATTGAGGTCAGGTGATCTTGATGACCACTCTATGATGTCAATATCCGCATTTTGCAGGAAATTTCATGTCAAAACAGCTGTGTGTGGTGTTGCATTGTCAAGTTGTAATTTGAGGCCTGTGCCTAAATTAGTTACAATTGATCTTAGGTCCCTACAATCAAGTTCACAATCACCATACTGCCCTACTCCACTTGCACATAGCGATCTTAGTGCGATTGTGAGACGACTTGGATTTATAATTGCAATCTTTGCTAAGGTCAAAATCTTCGATGATGGAGGTACAAATTTTTAAACTCAACTCCTGTCTACAGTCGTCTGCAAGCAGGCATAACATGCTGCTCAAACCAAAGGTAGAACCAATGACGGCACTAAGCACATACCTCCCTCCATTGCACCTTGCACACTTGTCATTCCACACAAATATACTGAGCAGGAAAACAAACGTCAGTTTGGAATTTTCCTTCGCAGAAACGGATAACTGTAAACTCATTGAATGTTTTGATTGTATATTTTTGACATCTCCAACTTTACCTGAGCAAAGACATTCCTTCCCAAACTCAGAATGGAACACAGGAAATGGTCTCAAAAACGCAACCAGATTTCGGAGATGGTACGATGTTCTCCATGTTTTTCATGCATCTCATGCTGCACGTGCTGTTCACAAGGACCAGCCCTATAAAATGCGCCCCCAAACCTGGTAAAAACATTCACATTACTACGTAAGCAGGATGCCGCGACTCACGACAGCTCAGAGGAAGCAGGCGCTAGGAAGACTTCACTTCCAGGTCAACGTTCGGACCATCTACAGGCTGCAGTAACGTTTCCGGGCCACCAACACCACAAATGATCGCCCCCGTACTGGCAGACCAAGGGTGACCACAAGACGACAAGACCGCCATGTTGTGCGACAGGATGTACAGAATCCCTCCATACAGGCATCCGAACAGCACGCCAGACAGTGGGAACACACGGAAGACCAATCAGTACTGATACAGTACGCCGACGTCTTAACAGCAGGAACATCCATTGCCGTAGAGCTTACCATGGACCTATCCTCACCCCTCGTCATCGGCGTGAACGTCTACAGTTTGCCCTACAACACCAACACTGGCAATACAGGCAATGGAGAACTGTTCTGTTCACAGATGAGAGTCCGTACTGCGTATCAACTGCAGATGACAGAACAAGAATTTGGCGACGACGTGGCCAGCGTTACTCAGACCAATGTGTTATGGAAAGAGACTCAGAGGGAGGTGCAAGCATCATGGTATGGGGGTGGAATAAGCCTGAACCAGAGAGTGGGTCCTGTGGTGTTCCAGAACCTTGGCCCAGGGAGAGGAGGTGGCATCACAGCGGTGCGCTACATCGACCAAGCTCTCAGACCCCACGTCATACCACATTTCGCACGTCACCGGAACAACATTTTCCAGCATGATAACGCCCGGGCCCATACTGCCAGAGCTACACGGGACTTCCTACAGCAGAACGGTGTCAGCATTATGCAGTGGCCAGCCCATAGTCCTGATTTAAACCCAACTGAACATCTTTGGGATGAAATTCAGAGGAGACTGAATAATGTCATACTAAGGCCGAACACAGCCGATTTATTGCGCTAGGCCTTTCTCAGAGTGTGGTTCCAGGTGCCAATGGCCTTCATCAATCGATTGGTGCACTCCATGCATAGACGCTGTGCTGCAGTTATTGCTGCTCGTGGTGGTCACACTAGATACTGAAGTCAAGGGTCTGAATATACTGCAAACGTTCACGTAATGTCTTGGAATTGTGTTAGTTATTCATTGATGTGTCAAGATATTGTACACAAAAATGGTTTTGATCCACTTATTATGTCCATTTCTGTAATGATCTGATTACAGTGCCTATCTAATTTTGAATTCGTACTGACGTTTTTTTGCAGCTGAGTATATTTGAAGAAAACGATTATTAGGAAGACAATCAAGATTTTGTTTCCATTCAAACTGTCGTGATTTAGGAACTGTGAGTTTGATATTGCAACTACATGTTATATGAAAATATTGAAATACGAATAAATACATTCATAAATTTGGGTCTAGATTTAGTAACATAATATACTGAACAGCAAAAGAAACGCAAGTCTGGCTTTTTGTCAATTTTTTTAATAGGAGACAACCCAAATTATGTCTAATCATTTATTCTATAGAAAACACTGTCAATGTAACAGCTAAAAGTTGCTGTTGACATTGAATTGCAATAGGTTCAAATTGATCACAGTCCGTCAAATGGAGATACCCCTGAACGCGAAAAGTGACAGTCTCTTTAGTAGCGCGTATAGCCACCTTGCGCTTGCATACAGGCCGTGCAACGTGGCCTCATTGAGTTCACTAGAGTCTGAAAGAATGCCTGATGCAACTGGTTCCGCTCAAACACCAATCTCTATTCCAATTGTGCAAGTGTGAGTGGCTGTCTACCTGCAGCAATCCTCCGTCCAATTTCCTCCCAGAATGTTCAATGGGTGCCATATCCGGGGAAAGCGACGTTAATGTTGTTCTGAGCCAGAGAATCCATCGACACCCTTGCTGTGTGAGGGCTGCAAACGTCGCTGGCGTTGTTGACGTGCCAAAATTGGACCCACATATGGCCTTCGGTAGTGGATTCCAGCAGCCCGAAGACGATGCCTAATCGTATCGCTTGGCACTGCTCCCCTTGACCCAAGAACTAAGGCTGCTGTTACTGTTGCTGCTTCAGTTCGATTCCTTAGATGAGTGACCCGGATGAACCGATCTTGCGCATGAGTTGTCACTCGTTGCCGTCCGGTACTGGGACGATCAGCAGCAACCCGCTTTGCTGATGACGTTGAGGAAGTCGTGTAATGGTGGTAAGATGACAGCCCAATTGTCTAGCTACAGCGGTTGCAGTGCTACCTCCGTGTAACTTTCCAATGGCCATTCCCCTCTGCTCAGTCGTTAGTCTAGGCATCGTTTGTGTGGCATGTACACCTCCTAGCGTCAATACTGAACTGTTTATTTGACACAAACCTTTATAAAGGATACCTCCGAGTGAAATGCACGCTTTTCATCCATAACCGTCGATGCACGTGCTAAAATTATGGTTTTGCTGCACTGTTGGCGTGTTTGTGCGAATGTTTCGTATGGACGTAAAATTGCATGACATCATCTCATCTGGGATCATTACGTCACTTTACCATGAACGTTCCATAAACATGAACGCTTACCTTCATGAGATTTCATTTTTTCGAAACTTGCTTTTCTTTTGCTGTTCAGTATAATTATGAAAATTAATATATGAAATATAAAGAATATTTCCTTATAAAATACCACGGAAATGTATGCTCTGTCAGTTGTTGTCAATGAGTCCTTGTTTAATCTGTTTGGGGGACTTTTGTAAAATCCCCAAATTATTCCAGAAGTGAAGGAATTGTTGTTGTAAGAAATATGGGGAAATATGAATAATAAATAATATTTCGAGTGAGTCATTGTTTAATACTTATGTCACTGTGTATTACATTTAAAACTATCACGTTGATATATTTTAGAAATGTAAAATTTACGGGTTAGAGTTGATCTTCAGTAACCCCATTCTCTTCCAACAGAGGTTACTTGTCACATCTTCCTAAGAACCTCTGTTCTGATACTGCCCTTTCATGGTGCGAGTGTTCAGGATTCGTGATTGGTTGCAATCAGATTTAGTTGTGCAATCAGCGGCGTTGTTTCAAAAGTGATCATTCGCAAGTTTCGGTAATTTCCGTATGCTCCGGGAAAACTAGAACCTCTTCCCCTGCGCGATGTGCACACGTTTCTTCAGGACAGAACTCAGTCATGTAATAGCGGATCAATGGCGTCTCCATCGCCCTCATTGACAGCGGACAAGCTAGCCATTAAATGCCTTGTGTGTCACATCAACACAAGTCCCCAGCAGTGGAAGGATATTTGTGGCCCCACATTTGCTTGTATTAGTCAAGTTGGATCTAAGTCTATGTAACACGTGTTCTGATTGGAAAGAAAGAAGGGAGATAATGCGTGTTGCGATATTTTGCCGCTTGGGAATTTTACGAGAACCGGGAAATTTGGCCGTATTAGAACAGATGTTCGTATATGACAAGTAACCTCTGTGGGAGGAGAATGCAGTAACCCATGCTTGTCATAAGAGGCAACTAACGGGATCGGGTGGTCAGATTTGCTGACTTGGTTTACACATGACATCGTATCCCAATTGCGTAGATTGATGTTCATGA